CTTGTTACTAGTAGCTTCTTGTTACTACTAGTAAGGCACTTGTTACTGCATGTTCATATGTTTTTTTGAGGCTTTCAAGTTGTGTGAGCAAATGGCGTGAAAAAAAGGCATGATCCCAAAAGGGTACCCGGGTATAGATTTTTTTTGTTTGACCAATGCAGTGTGCCTTCCAAAGAATTTTCCTCCAACATGTCACACAGAGGTATCGATGTCATGTCACCAATCACTGGCATCGGCTGGGTTTCTTCTGGCTGGGTGCCAGACGCAGCAGGCGAATGATGGATGTCTATATAGGTGAGACACAGATTTGCAGAAGGGTTTTCTTTGACATGGAGTTGGCCGCCACCTTCACCGCTCAAGACAAAAGCCGGGGCGCTCACGCGTGGCGTTCATGGGTTACCCACTGGGCTACCGGCTTGCGGTGATCTGTCAGGTAGCTTTGGTGGGTTTGGTCGGTGTTGACCTTTACTATACCCAACGATTGCAAGAGGACATTGGGTTGTTGCGGCTGCAGGTCAGGGCATTGGACATCACACCTGAGCGCTCCCAAGACCCCGAGGAGGATCCTCCCACTTCAGGTGGACAGCCTTGGTCTTCGCGGCGCAAGCCGGAGGCTGAAGCCAAGGTTCTGGTGGGAGTTGATCATCGGGGCCAGTTGAGTTTGGGACAGCTGTTCACATTGCTGTTGATCTTGCTTGCAGGGCTCATTGCATTGGGTTGGTTGACTTTTGGCCGACAGTGTTCAAAAGCATTGACAGAGGGTAGCAGGTCGCCCTTACAGAAGCGTGACTTGGCTCAGAGACAGCTGGCGGAACTACGGCTTCGTCGGCATGGCTTTGGTCAATAGACACATTTTGTTGGAGTACGATGTACCTGGACCCCGTCTTTGGCACGAACGTCTTGTACTCAGCCACGTGGCGGGTGAAGTGTACATCATTGCGACACCAGACCGTGATGTCTATGCTGAGGAGTTGGGGGTTTTGAGCCCCGATGTACGAACTCTGAAAGTGAAGCCTGCTGCAGGTATTTTACCACCGGATGTCGTCGCCGGTGAGGTCTACGCTCTGCCTGCCTGGACTGCAAACGATTTGCACAACCTCCGGGAGGAAGGTCGCAGAGTAGCTGAGGAGGAACGTCGTGCCACGGCTGGTGGCGCTGGTCCTTTAGCGGCAGCCGCCGCAGCGGCGGCTCCGGTTGTTGCGGGGGCCGCGGCATCCACCAAGATCGACCCGGTTGATGGCTATGAGGCTGGAACCCTGAAGTGGCTGGCGGCTGAATCCAACTCCAGCCACCAATATGGCCAAGAAGTTCAGGGGGTGCCCAATCCCCTGGTGAAAGACAGCAAGATTGCCCACATTGGAGCCCATGGTGTCAGTATCTTTCTTCAGTGTGCTGATGGTCATGATTATTTCAATTTTTTGCAGAGGCCAGCAAGGTGTGATCCCAGGGTGTTGCCTGTTGAGTTGAACCCTATTGGGCATCCGGAAAGGACTTTGAAGGAGGTCGCATCCATGGGCGCTGAAAGCAAAGTGAGGTGGGAGTTGGCCGGTCCACGTACCAGCAAATGGTGTGTGAACTATTTGGCCATCGAGAACCTTGGCTTCGAGGGGCACCATGAGAGACTCCGACAAGTCACAAAGGCTGATGCAAGTAGTTGGGGAATTCAGGAGCACTTCCAGGTCAGCATGGCCCTTCGCCAGGCCCTCCTTGTCGATCAACTTGACCCCTACAACCTGTTGAGCATTGAAATACAATTCAGGCGGCTCCAAACCATCGAGTACTCTTACAGCGAGAAGGCAAAGGATTTGGAGGCGAAGGCTGTGGGTGGACGGTTGAGTTTAGAAGAGCAGACCACTTTTGGAGGCATTACACGACAGTACAGTACATTGATGATTTGCCCCCAGTTGTTGGATCACGTCAAGATCGAGACCGAGAAGGAGGCCAACCTGGCCAAGAACTTGCGGAAGGCCCGCGAGGAAAGAGAAGCAGCTCGCAAGGGAGCGAAGAAGGGGAGTGACAAGTCAGAACACCCTTGAAATACCAGGTGCAGCAGAAGTCAGGCCTTGCAGCTGCTGCCATACCTTCAGAGGCCGTGCAAGTTCGGGAGGTGGACAGAGACATCTTTCCACTGCCAAGAGTT